ATGTTCAGAACTGAAGAAGCATCTCGGATGAGAAACGAAACATCTTCCTCAAGGAAAAATCCAGTGGCCTTTTGAAAAAGGACCTTGGAGAGCAGGCAGGAGTATTAGATATGTTTGTCAACTTGAGTTATATATTTAAAAAGGCAAGATAAAAATATCTAATAAAATAATAAAAAAGACACTCAGTTCCACTTCACTCTAAGTCAGGGCTGTCAAACTCATGTCAAGCGCTGGCCACGCCCATGCCCGGTTTAGAGAAGGGGGGGGAAAGCCCCGATACGTCATGTGATGCTGATGTGACGACATGAGTTTGACACCCCTGCTCTAAGTGCTAGGGATGATCGAATAAAGTGCTCCCTTCCCACAATAAGCCAAGGATAGGAAGCTTCAATCCAAAAAGAGATCACTTTGGCAGAAAAACAAATCTGGTCAGGTTGCCAACTTCAAAAGCCAATACAAAAATTTATGCCACCAGATAAAGACTGAATGCACCAATGATCACATTAAACAAGAGGAAAACCTTCTATGCACCAATTCCACCCGCGCTTTCTACAATTTTGTAAACAACAAACTAAAAGACTCAAGGTCCATCCCACCCCTTAAAGGACCTAATGGTAAAGACTGCAACGATGACACTATTAAAGCCAATCTCTTTAACACATTCTTTGGCTCAGTATTTGCAATGGATCATTCCCAGTATTTCCTAGTCGAACCACAGACAACTACAATGATCTAATACATATCAATTTTACAGAAGACAATGTTGAAAAAACACTACACAATCTAAAACCACCTCTATCTATTGGACCGGACAGAATATGTGCCTACTTCTTTAAAAAGCTACCCACTGCCATAGCCAAACCTCTAAGCATAATCTTTGAAAAATCTTTCAGGACCAGCTCTTGCCAAAACTATGGTCACAAGCCACTGTCATCCCCATCTTCAAAAAGGAAGACCCCAGCCTTGTTGAAAATTACAGACCAATCTCTTTATGCTACGTCACCTGTAAAGTCATGGAATAAATTATTAACCAATCCATCATCCTCCCCTTAGAAACAAACAACCTACTCTCTAATAAACAATTTGGTTATAGGAAAAAAACTATCATATAATCTGCAACTCTTACACTGCAAAAACATATGGACTACACAACTCGACCAGGGCAAAGCAATAGATGCAATCTACACAGACTTCTGTAAAGCCTTTGATTCAGTGGTACACGACAAACCACTCCTAAAACTAAAATCTTACAGTATCTCTGGACACCTGCATAACTGGATAGAAGCATTCCTGTCAAACAGACAACAAATGGTCAAAATTGGGAGCGTCCTATCAAATTCTGTACCTGTCAACAGTGGTGTCCCCAAGGCAGTGTTCTAGGACCAACTCTCTTCATACTCTACATAAATGACCTCTGTGATCATATTAAGAGCAACGGTGTTCTCTTCGCTGATGATGTAAAGCTGTTCAACACCACAGACAATACTGCTACCCTTCAAAAAGACCTTGACTATGTATCAGAATGGTCAAACAAATGGCAACTTCAAATCTCAACAAATAAATGCTCTGTCTTACATATTGGCAAAAAAAAATCAGAAAATAAAATACAGGCTGAATAGTCAAGACCTTGTTGATGATCCAAACTCTGTCAAGGATCTTGGAGTACTCATCTCTAATGATCTAAGTGCTAGAGCCCACTGTAACTACATAGTCAAAAAAGCATTAAGAGTTGTTAACCTAATCCTGCATAGCTTTTTCTCTGGTAATATTACACCACTAACTAGAGCATACAAAACATTTGCTAGACCAATACTTGAATACAGCTCATCAGTCTGGAACCCACATTACGTATCTGATATTAATACAGTTGAGAAAGTCCAGAAATATTTCACAAGAAGAGTTCTCCAATCCTCTACTTGTTGCAGAATACCTTATGCCACCAGACTTGAAATTCTAGCCCTAGGCAACCTAGAACTACGCCGCCTTTGGTCCAATCTAAGTATAGTATATAGAAAACATACATTGCAATATCCTACCTGTCAATGAATACTTCAGCTTCAACCATAACAATACAAGAGCAAACAATAGGTACAAACTCAAGGTTAATCGCACCAAACTTGATTGCAGGAAATATGACTTCAGCAACAGAGTGGTCAATGTCTGGAATACTCTACCTGACTCTGTGGTTTCTTCCCCAAACCCCAAAAACTTTAACCTTAGACTGTCTACTATTGACCTCACCCCTTTCCTAAGAGGTCTGTGGGGGGCGTGCAAAAGTGCACCAACGTGCCTACCGTCCCTGTCCTATTGTTTCTTTCTTTTATTTTTCTTATATGTATCCATGTATTCATAACTATGTTTTTTACTTATACCTATTATCTTGTAAGCAGTTGACAAACCAAATAAAATAATAATAATAAAAATGTTTCCTTTAAATTGTGACAATTGCAACCATTTCTGATGGCTTTCACCTTCTTTGCATTTGTATCTGAACTGCATTGCTGTAACCTTCTCTTGCAATAGTATTTTTTTTTCCCTTATAGAAAAATGAAGAGCTGTGCCCCAGGGACTGGAGTGGAGGCATCTCTGCATGCAAGCATATTCACCAATGCCCAGTATGAAAGGGATAGGAAAAATAAGTTGTTATTGGGTGAGACAATATTTGTTTATAGAACCTACCATTAACTTTCAAGGGGTTTAAAATAGGAGACAAATATTTTTGAATACGCATTTTCAACTGGCTGAACACACGTATCTGGCTGGATGAGAGAGAAGGAGCACCCCAACTTTACTGGAAGGTGGCCTCTGACAATGATGGGAACAGGAGATTATAACTGTCAGGAAAGGGGTTGTTTACCTCTCAAGCTCAGCTTGGCCACAGCTGTGCCTGCTAGGTCATAAGGGAGTGAAATTATCCGGCTTCATTGTGCTCCTTTGTCTTCTGCTGGGACAGGCAAGCTCATCTGTGCTGGCTTAATGAGTCACCATCTCTACGAAAGGGAGACTGATTCAATTTCTGCTCAGTTAATTAAAAGCATTGCTTGGTTCGCAGGAGCCAGGCTCTCCCTCTGGGTGCATGCTGAATCCAGCTTGGTTTTCATTTAATTTAAACTCGAGTCGACCCCAGCATGTCAGATCCAGGAAAGCAACTTATCGTAGCTGCGAGAAGGAATGGTTTGCATGGTTTGAGGGCATAGGAAAGCTGTTCTGCTAATTGTCTCAGCCAAAGAGTCTCAGCCTGCATGAAATCTCATTGATGAGCCTTTTATCGTCCTTCAATTACTAAGGTGAATCAAGCATTTCAAACCTCAAGTAAATGGATCAAATGACATGGATCATTCCCTTCCTGGCACATCTTGGCTGCAGCGTGGTTAAGTTAAAGAGCTGATTTGACAAGCGTAAGTGTGGAACTGTGACACTCACTAAGGATACCTTATCAATGGTCATACCGTGCAATTGCACCCTCTGGTGGACTTATACTGAATGGCATTGTGACAGCCTGAGTTAATAGCTAGCTGGGCTGAGGACTGATTTGGTGAAAGAGACCACCATGAGCAGATCTATAATATGCTTAGAAGTCATCTCAGTCTAGGCTGAATCACTTATAGATTTTTCTTCTCATCCTTTTCTCACTAGCATAATTATTATAGGTAACTACTAGCGATAACAGCTTCATTTGTGCCCTTTTTGTAGAAAATAGAACACACAAAGGTGGTTCAGGTCAGCATTTTTAGCTAGAATTTTGTTAATCCAAGCTTGTATATATATGACTCAAATGATTGCATCATTTGTTGGGGTGATTTCATTTGTTGGATATGTATGTATGTATGTATGTATGCATATGTACAGTATATAAATGCTTTTTTCCCCTCCCATTCACTTGTTCGAATTCTTGGAGACTGCTTGATTAAGTCTGGGGGTTTTTTGGCAAGATTTTTCAGAAGTAATTTGCCACTGCCTCCTACTTAGGGCTGAGAGAAAGTGACTGGTCCAAGATCACCCAGCTGGTTTGTGACTATGACAGAGCTAGAATTCATACTCTCCCAGTTTCAACGCCTTAACCACTAGACCGAACTGAGTTTTAAAAGAGGTGTTTTTTAAGCATATAAAATGGTAATGCTAAAATCCATAGCATGGTCACTTTAGATTGACAAATGTCATCAATCTAATTATTGACATCTTATTGACATCAATTAAATTTGACTAGCGGTGTAGTACTCTCTGGCTCATTAATTGATATCCGTGCTCTCATGGTAAAGAAAGCTAATGGAATAGGACAGGGGAGATTCAGATTCAAGTCTCCCTTCAATGATAAAAGTTCATAACAACTTTGGGACAGTCCTTCTCAGCCCAATCTGCCTCACAGTGTAATTTTGTGGGGATAAAATGATGCAATACCCCTTCCTGAGTAAAGTTGATGATGATGATATTTTTTCTAGAATTCTGTAAATTGGCATCATTTGTTCATCAAAAACAATATCTCATAAAAAAATATAAAAATAAATAAAAATAAAAAAAATAGATAATCAAATCTAACTGGATGTAAACTAATGGATGGACTACCTCAGTAGGTAACTTTAAGATGTTTGGGCCTCGACTTCTAGAATTCCCCAGCTAGTAGGCAACATGTTGACTAGGGAATTCTGAAAATTGAAGTCAGGTTGAGAAATACTAGTTTATCTATTCACTGTCTGATGTGTTACCAACCATAATTACACCTGATTTATAAAGTGAAAAATGCAGTAACACAATAACAGAAGTAAAATAAAATGGGCAAACTGAAAAACAAGTGAACACTTTCACATTCAGGTATAGAAAAGAAATATTGTCACCTTCAATTCACCTTCCACCAGTACATCAAAAAAAACATTCTGGTTAAATTCATGATTATGAGGCTGGGAAGCAAAAGAACCCCAAATAAGGTACTTTCAAATAGACCCTGTTTATAATGCCTATGTGTGTGAGAATAAACAAAATTGAAAGTGGGGCTCAACCCTTACCTTTCTGGGGTGTGCAGTCTTGGGGTGGTTGTCTTCACCAGACAACTTCCTCTCTGTGGTTTTCCTTTCATCTGTCTAAAGATATAAAGAAGGAATGTCTCATTTTTTTTTCCAGAAACAAAGAGGCTTCTGTAGACTTGGAAAAAGCCCACAGAGCTTGCAAGAAAAACTCAAGCGTTTTTTTTTTTTTTTTTAAATTAGGAATGGATAGAACAAAAAGGCCTAGGGAGATTGTTTCATGAACTTATCCAATGGAGAAAAAAGTCATATAAGAAGAAAACAAGCAAGGTTCTTGCAAATCCCTTCTGTTCCACTTTGCAGGCAGAAAGGAAGAGTAACTAAAAGCTTGACTTGGCCTTTATACCTATATCAGCACATTTATTAAACATTTATTTAAAAATGCTAGAGAAAAAGAGCTTCTGCGTGGCATTAAGGCATTTCCATTTGATTTGATTCACTAACTGAAAGACACTTTTAAAACCCTACATTCTTCACAAGGCCAAATGGTGTTTCCAGGTACTGTATGGGACCACAAGGCCAAATGAGAAATCCTAGGCTTTGGAAGATTCCCAATATATCCCAGAAATGATGGCCATAGTACAGTGGTGAAATGCTACGAGTTCGGCCCCAGTTTGGCCGAACCGGTAGTTAAAAAAAAAAGCTCCGATGTTCAGCTAAGAGGAGAAAGAAGAGAAAAACTCAGGATTGTCCCTCCCAACCGCACTTGTGCTTTTTTGTTCTTTATCCTCTCAACTGATTGGCACAGCAGAGCCTCAGCTGGTGTTTGGAAAGCTGCGCATGCATGCACGCTAAGTGCGCCCACACACAAAGTGCGCGATTACCGAACTAATAGAGAAACTGGTAGAATCCCACCACTGCCATAGTATCAAAGATAGCACTGTGCTATCTTTGATACTACAGCAGTCAATGTATATGTCTACAATTGAAACTGTAGACATATGCCATTTCAGAGTCTGCTATAATATTGTTGATTATTCTTTGTTGACTATTATTTAACAGATTTAATAGATAATCAGAGTTGGAAGGGACCTTGTAGGCCATATAGTCCAACCCCCCGCACAAGCGGGAGACCCTACACCATTTCTGACAAATGCCAGTCCAATCTCTTCTTGAAAGTCTCAAGTGATGGCGTTCCCACATTGTTATTGATGATGGCTATTGCCCTGATTCAAGTGGTGAATTGGGCAGCTATATAAATATAAATATTAGACCAATGTTTTATCTCTTTGATAAAACAGCTGAACAAATCAACTGTTACTTGGAGGATGCGCAGACAATAAGAAAGTTAAAATGCCTTCATTGGCCATAACCTTCCAACATAATGATTAATTAGTTCATCTTATTGCTAGGCTAGAGAAGAACACCCATTTTAAAGGGATACATGGCTGCACCCTCAGAGATCTGAATGTCAGGGAAGGAAATTTCTTTCTCTGTGTTAGCTGGCTGGCTGGCTGGCTAGCAGGCAATAACAGCAGTGAAGAAAAGGCAGCAGCAGTTTTGTTTATAGATGCTGAGCCAGAAAAACAGATTGAAGGGTGCAGGGTGGGACAATGACAGCCAGGAAAAGGGGTTCATGGACTCAGGATGTCTTTACATCTCGCTGCACTTCTGCAAACCTGTTCCATCCCCATATTTCTCTGGCAAGGTTGGGAGTATGTATTTTCCAAGGTAACATCTAGTTCCTGCATAGTCAGCTGCTGGCGAAGACATGTAGTTTCACATGCAATATGGGGCTGCAGTGCGATTGTAATTCTTGTTCCTGCCTGGCTGAGCTGCTGAGCATATAGTACATTTTGTGCCATGCAAGAGACAAAAAGAATCAACACCCTTCCTACTAATCTGGTTCAAAGCCCCCTGTATAAAAATCTTTCTAATTTTATGTCTTTCTTAAGATTTTTACACCCTGGTTGAAAGCTGTATGTGTGTGAAATCAGTCCCTCCTCCAGTTTCATGTTTGAAAACTAAAATACAAAAAAACAAACTCAATTCCCTGGAGTTTTTTTTTTTTTTTTAAAGACAGGATGCTGAGAAACGAGCAAGCTGGAATGAATAAGTTTTACTTCTGCTAATTGCCTGGGAGCCTTTTATCTGAACATCAAAGTTCTTACATAGATAGACACACAGAGCAATTGCACAGTGGAAATTCCATTTCAGTGTTGACATCCAAGCTCTCTCTTCCATAAAGAATGGGTTTACATAACGCTTGGTTTTATTGTACAATTTTCTTACATTTGCAGTAAAACTACATCACAACATCCATAATGTTAAAAGGGCAACTTAGAAGGGGGCGGGGTGTAAAGAAGAAAGACAGAAGATGACACTGATTTTCATATGCTGATATATTTAGCTGATTCCAATTACCAATGTGCCTATTCAGTCCCTTATTCAGATTATTATTAGTCCTGGTTTAGAGAAAGAAAGTGCTCCTTGTTTCCATCCAAGATGTCAGCAGATGGCCAGCTTTTAACCTAGTTCTTCTGGGGATTTTTCCCACAGTAACAGCATCAGATGCTAGGTGGTTGTGCTAAAAGCAGGATTAAAAGAATGGGTTGCCTATTCACTAGAAATGTCATGTTCTTTTAATAACAAGTATGGAATCAGCTGCTGAAGTTTTTTGACCCTAGAGAAATCAGCCTTGTGAAGTTACCAAGTCTGGGATTATAAAGATGGCAGAACTTTTGAAATAGTGAAACTGAACTGTTTGATCAGGGAGAAGGCAACAAATACTTTTATAAAGATTGGAAATATCTTATGGTCTTTTGTTGAAAATGGAAAAAAAATGAATGGGTGAGTGAGAAGATATGAATGAGATAGCTTAGATTCTGTATAAATGGTCTTATGGGAGATGAGTGGTTAACATCCCTCAATGTTATCTGGATTTGATTTTGACTTGGAAGTAGATAGTGCCAGGGGTGGGATTCTACAGGTTCGCACTTATTCGCTACAACCGGTTGTTAACATTCTAAGCAGTTTGGAGAACCGGTTGTTAGAAGAAATTATTGGCCTAATCCTGTAAGGAAGGCAGGAAGGAAACATTCTGGTGTTGCTTACAGAAACTGCCTCTCCGTTAACCCTTATTACATTCTTGGCAGGACTAGACTTCCTGTCTCAGGAACCTCTCTGGAGTTTTTTTCCCTTCCTTTGCTGGTACTTTGCTTGTGTGGAGTGACCATTCAAAGTTACAATGGCACTGAAAAAAGTGACTTATGATTGTTTTTCACACTTACGACTGTTGCAACATCCCCAGTCATGAGAAGCCAGGCAAGGAGATGCGTACCTTGATGTGAGTGATGTTGAGTTGGCCGTGCCCAGCCAGTCACATGACCACCAAACCACGCCCACCAACTAAGCCACGCTTAAGTAAAAAATTTGAATCCCACCCCTGGATAGTGCAGTGTGATGGATAATGTCTATCAGATGTAGGCTAAACCCATGACTTACCTGGCTCCTTTGGAAAACACAAGAATTGGGGATGAATGTGTCAATCTATGAGATTGTCTACCCACCATCTCAGGATAGGAAGAACCTTGCAGAAGGTGGTTGGATATCTCTTCTGAACGAGAACTTCCTCCTGTATCCAATTAATTAGGCAACTATTGCCCAGTCTCTAAGCTTCCCCATTTAGAAATTGGCATTTTGGAAAAGAGGGAAAGAATTGCCTTCTGGCAAAGATGGGCCATAATTGAATTAATTATAGAAGTATAATCCTACAGAATCCTGATGAAGATAAAACAAATGATTTAAACCCCTTTCAGTCAGGCCTGGATATTCAGCTGGAATTGCAATGGTCACCCTATGAATGATCTCTGCTAAGAACTTGATGGGACAATGTGCCTCTCCGGGTCCTCTTTTGGCAGTCTTTTGTATCGCCAACTATGGTGTCCTTTAGAATGCCTATGAAAACTAGAAATTAAGGACACTGTTTTGCAGTGCTTTCTTTCCTGAATAAGTGACAGTAGTTATAAGGGGAGGATATCGATCCCATTGGACAGATTAGACTATGAAATCAACTTCATGGGATGGCTAAAGCTAATTTTATTGAGCGTGGTTGTTATAACAGAATGTTACAAGTCGGACTGTTCTGATTTTGATAAATAAAATGTTTTCAGCACTTAAAGAAAACTGCAGTAAAATGTTCAATAAATAAGTTGGCACTAATTAATCATCAGCTGTTTACCTTAAGAAAAATCACACCGCATCATGAAGACATAAAATTCAAAAGTCTGAGAGTCAGGTTCTGAAGACAATACTCCTTGCAAGTCAGAGATATATTGCTATTGCCTGTTGCTAACTCTGCCTTAAAGAGTATTTATCCATCAAAAAAGTTCCACGTTGTTCCAATGATTCAAACAACCAACTCATCGCAGCCAACTTGCCATGGCCAACTTGCCATGGGACAAGAGTTACACTAATATTGAAGAAATAGTCCAATAAAACCTATGAAGAAAGGATGCTAAAGGAGGGACAAAATAAAATGTAAATGACAAAAATTTAAATAATGTTCTAATTATTTTATATAATTAAATTGAATTGTTGAATTGTCCTGCAGAGAGTGGTCCCATGGTGAGTCAGCCATGGCAAGTTGGCTGCGTCCCATTCCGGCCTAGACAGTATTAAGAATAGCAGCTTTTGCAAAGTGTCTTTTAGCGTGTAAACCATAGATGCAGCAAGACCCATTGGAAACAAAATAGGATTCCTGGCCTTCTGTGCCTCTTCACTTTTCTCTCTGCCAGCTTTGTGTTGTTTATCTAACATATTGCAATCGTCTGGCAGAGTCTGTACAGCACTAGGTTACACATAGCCTTACATAAAAAGGCAGTTGCTGCCAAATGTACTGTTTATATCCCTTTTAAATGCCAGGATCAAATGTTTGTGGTTTTCCCCCCAGGAGCCCTGTTGCTGGGAAAATGCTGGCTGTTAGGGAGAACCCTGAGCCGACTCTGTTAGCTGTCTCTCCCAGCATGATTTACACTCCTTGATTCACTGTGTCCATTTAATTCCCAGCAGGTCCATCTCGCCTGAAAAAACCAGTCTGGGTCCATCTAGGATTGCACAGCTCTGCAGGCCTCCCCGTGCAGGACGGAACATTTTTTTGCTCCCTTTTCAAACAAAAGTGAGGGCACTCCCACGCTGCCATTGCATTGCACCCTGCAGAGCATAAAGGACATACACAAACTGTGCTGTTCTTGGGTTAATCTTCTCTGTCAGCCTCACATTACTTAGACTTCATCAGTTTCAGGCGGTCTTGAATGTGTTTGGAAATCTTGGCCCCAGGAAGCATGAAGTAATAAACTCTTTAAAAAGCAGCATTCTTAAGACATGTACTCTCAGAGGGAGACTTTCCAGAGTAGAACCTTATGTTGTAACCTACTATGGTTTGAGACAATAAATTGAAGGTTGCTATTACTACTACAAGATTGACTTTCTATGGGAGTGAAAATGAAATTTTTAAATTTGAAGAAGTGGGATAGAAAAGTTATGGATGCTTTTGGAAATACCATGAGAATATCATGAAAAGAAGCAAATACAAATGTCAAGAAAATAACAAAAAGAACCAAATAAATCAGCCCAGAATTCTTGTATGAGACATCAATGACCTTGCTCAAACTACCCTACTCTGGATACATTATGTAAAGAGTTAGAGAAACTCCATCTGGGGAAATCTACAATACCAATAAAAGTAAAAGGAAAGAGATGGATTCAGTTACAGCAGCAATGGATGCACTGTTGGAAAACTGAATCCCTGTAAGAAGAGATCTGGTTGGTTGTCCCAGCGATGACTCCAGAAGGGGAAACACACCCTCTGAAAAGCAGCTCTATGATTTGGGGATACTGTTAGAGTTATTACCACTACCATAACTCTGATCTGAAGGACAACGATTTTCTGGAGAAAATCTATTTATATTGTCATTAAGAATCAGCATTGACTTGGTAGCAAACAGTCAGTCAATCATTGTAAGACTAGAACTGTGTCTCCTGATAATAACCACAAAATGTCATTTAGAATAACTCTGCTTGAAGAATTTTTGAACATTTCCCTATTGCTTGGTTATGCAAGCTATATCTGGGCTGCAAAACTCCAGCTGATCAAGAGGTAGTAGCAACCACTTAGTAAAGTAAAATCTTCCATGATGCAAGTTTCACTTCTATACTTTTCTTGGAAGCAATTTCAAAATAATTTTTCACTACCTTGTCCTGGGTTTGTATTGTTGTTGTCATTTCCCAGGCTAGCCAGCAGTCCCATTTTCTAATGGTGACAGATCAAAATTCTGGCCTGATATAACCCAGTTTAGGTTCTGAACCCATTCAAGGATAGGCAGGTGCTGCTACCTGCTGAGATTAGGTATAATAAGCCTCAGAAAATGGAATCAAACTTGCTGATTGTCTCCTTTTGGGATAATTATTGAATTTTTTAGCTCTTAAGTTTTCAAGCTCTTACAAAATTCAGGATGGAGGTAGTGAAAAACATCAAATCCGCTGTTCCAAATTAACCTCTCTTATCATAAGTGCTTAAAACATTTCTATATAGATGCACAAGCTACATAGGTATAAAGAAACTCATTCTGTCTACTTGCTCACAACCTAGTAGTGATATACCTTTTAAGTATGACAACATATACACCTCACACAAGTAATGGCAAAAACAGTAGCTCTGAGTCAGATCCTCCCTCATGTAGGATAACATGTCCTCAACTTATTGTAGACACTTGTAGCCAATGAAAAATAAGATCACACTTGGAATATTGCATCCAGTTTGCTCGCCACAATATAAAAAAAGATGGTGCTATTCTAGAAAGAGTTTGCAGAGAACAGCAACAAAGATGATTAGGAGACTGGAGGCTGATCTTAGAGTCCTAGTGAGCAATCAGTTAAATATGAGCCTGCAGTGTGCTACAGCTGCCAGAAAACACAGTTCTAGGCTGCATTAATAGAGGGATAAAATCAAGATCACATGAAATGTTAATACTACTTTATAATGCCTTGATAAGATCACACTTGGAATATTGCATCCAGTTTTGGTCACCACACTATAAAAAGAGATGTTGAGGCTCTAGAATGAGTGCAGAGAAGAGCAACAAAGGATTAGCGGACTGGAGGCTAAAACATATGAAGAACGGTTGCTGGAATTGTGTATCTCTATGAAAAGAATGACATGAAATGGAAAGGACTAGGGGTGATATGATAACAATATCTAAGAAGCTACCACAAAGAAAAGTGAGTCAACTTACTTGTCCTGCACCTGAAGGCAGGACAAGAAGCAATGGATGGAAACTAATCAAGGAGGGAACCAATCTAGAACTTAAGGAGAAATTTCCTGACATCTAGAACAATTAATCAGCGGAATGACTTGCCTTCAGAAGTTGTGAGGTTTTCAGAAAAGATTGGGCAACCATTTGTCTAAAATGATACAGTGTTTCCTGCCTGAGCAGTTATGTTATTCTTCCAGTTCTGTCATTCTATTATTTTCCAAGATCACCTAAAAGCTATAAAATCAGGCAATTAAAATGTTTAGCATCTCTTCATTTGTTCCTAAGGGGCTTTATCCTTTGTATGTACTTTTGCTGAAAACCAGTACCAAATTTGATATCTTCCACCCTCAAACTCAGTAGGAGCTGGAAATTTTGGAGCTAGAAAAAATTGTGCAATTATTATTTCAAGAGAATACAATCAGTAGGCTTGATTGGTTTCATATGTTAAGTCATGGTCTGTTTTAGTTGTGATTTATTGAACAAGCCACAGTCAGTTGAGTTCATATAATATGCTAAGCTATAAAAATAATTCGAATGTTGCAATTCACATAAAAATGAAAAAAATTAAAATTATATAAAGCACAATTACTGTATGCATAAGTTTGGCTTATAAATATTGAATGTATTTTTTTGCCATTTCTATACTGGAGATTTTAATCCTATCATTCTGTTTTTGGGGGGGAAAGCAGGAATCTAGTAGCACTTTTTCCACCTAAAATATCTGATTAGAAGTTGAAATTAAAACTGAGTTTTAATTGTCAGGTGCAACACATGAAAGTTTAGGCCTCTTAATACAATTTATTAGTCATAAAAGATGCTACCAAATTCCTGGTTTTCTGCCACTGTAGATTATAATGAATCTCTTTCTGGGCTGTCATTGGGAAGGACCAGTTTTTCAAAGAGCTGAGACCTTGTCATCTTGCCCATTTCCCATCCCAGGAAAACTGGATGTCGAAAAGAAGTGGAATGGCCAGGAATAGCTACAAAGCTTAACCCAACTGGACTTGAGATGGAGGCTTCCTGATGTATGAATTGTCCTTTTTATCCTGGGATTTTTTAGGCCAGAGGTCTCTAAACTTGGCAACATTAAGACTTGTGGACTTCAACCTCACAGAATTTCTGAGCTAACATGATTGAAGGAGGAATTCTGAGAGTTGACGTCCACAAGTCTTAATGTTGACAAGTTTGGGGGAGGCCTGTTTTAGGCTAAGTAGCATGAGCCACAGCAACCAATGAGGGACAAAATTGTGCAGCACAACAACAACAACAGGAATAAAGGAATAAACAGGAATAGATACAAACTCAAGGTTAATCGCACCAAACTTGATTGCAGGAAATACGACTTCAGCAACAGAGTGATCAATGTCTGGAATACTCTACCTGACTCTGTGGTTTCTTCCCCAAACCCCAAAAACTTTAACCTTAGATTGTCTATTATTGACCTCACCCCTTTCCTAAGAGGTCTGTAGGGGACGTGCATAAGTGCACCAACGTGCCTACCGTCCCTGTCCTATTGTTTCTTTTATATTTCTTATATGTATCCATGTATTCATAACTATGTTTTTACTTATACCTATTATCCTGTAAGCAATTGACAAACCAAATAAATCAATCAATAAAGTTAGGTCTGCTAAAATGTCCCAGAAAAAAAAACCAAGGAGTGTCTATTGTGTGGTGTTTTTAGTAGCGCCCTTGTTTTTCTCACTCCAAAGGTGATTGCTGTAAATTTAACCAGTCGCCATCATTAAAAATGATCGCCAAGTGACTTGGCCGCAATATGCTTCCTCCCCATTCTCCTTGTGTAGCTGCCGTAAAGCTGGACATCAATTTGGTCCTACCATACAGGGGAGAAGCAGCTGGCTAAGTGGATTATTGCAGTTTAGATGCAGAATCTGTCCCAAAGGTTTCCCTTCCCAGAAGCTGTGAAGAGAACAGCCGCTGTCTCAGCATCAGACAATGATGTCAACATATATTAAAATTAGCACAAAAATTCTAGACAAGAACCGAAAATCTTGGGAGGCATTTGGGAAGCACTCACCCTGCCTTTGTTTTCCATTGTAATGGCAATCTGCATTTTTCCTCTACAGAAAGCAAGCCGCTCATCCCTCTCTTCTTCGCTGATATCTGGCACCTCTGCTGGATTCCCGGGATCCTCAGATCCCCATTTCTCTCGGACAACCCGCTTTCCCTGCCAAGGGACGAATGAGAATTACATATTCTTCCCAACAGACAAATCAACACTCCATTTCGCATCCCTTGTAATGCATGTGAAGGGTGGTGGCTTAGAAAAAGACCTTGACTTTGGAGCCAAGCATAAGTAGGAGTGTCACACTTGGAGAGGTTCTGATCAAAAGCTCAATCACAATAAACAAGGAGAGAGAAAAAAATCACTGATAAACTCAAGGTGTTTATCTATAAATCTATAACAAACATGTGGTACTGTTAGGACACTGTCATTTTGTGGATCCACCTTTTATTAAGGGTAATTTGTTTTGGGTTGCTGCCCATCAACAATAAATTGAGCAGCTTGAATATAATATTTGTTACAATATTCTCTAATCGTTTAAAATTATATATTGCACAGATGGAAAGGCAAATTTTTGGACCTTGTCATCTACTTTGTTTTACTAAAATTCTGAGGTTTATGAATTTCTGCTGGTGCCAAAGAATAGCTTAGGAAATGAGGCTGAGAAATAAAATAGAATGCTAAAGCCTGGAATTTGATTTCAATATCACAGTTTGCCACAGCTAATTCTCCACAGAAATCTATTCTCTCTAATCAGCCCAGTGGTGGTATTCTTCTGGCTCAGCCCGGTTCTGCCGAGCTGGTAGCTGCGATGAGCAGTGGAGACCAAACCGGTTCTCTTCACCACTCTGCTGTTGGGCCCACCCACTTGCCCGGCCTCCCATACTCACTTTTATCCTCTGAATTTGAAGCAAAGCTGCTTTGCGCAGCACAGAAGAGTGCCTCACAGCAGCTGCTGAAACAACCAGGATCGTGCAGGCTTGCAGAAGGTGAGTTAGAATGCCGCTGGGCCTGCACAAACGCCTCTACACTTGCACAAAGTGCGCGTTTGGTGTACACGCGCACGCAAAGTGTGTGCATGCACGCAAAGCGCGCCCACCAAGCCACGCCCACTGAACCGGTGGTAAAAATATTTGAATCCCACCACTGAATCAGCCTGATTACTGGAACAGATCTTTCATATTTGCTGTTAAGTCAACAAGCTAGAAACTCACAAATGAAGTTAAACATATATGTCCCAGGATAATGCTGTAAGATCCAATCTGAGTGGTCACGGGGACAAGAGATTTAATCTTTCACGCTTTCGGACTTGTGCAGGAGCCCATCCTCTGGGAACTTCTGTCTCACCAGAATGTATATGAGAGAAGTTTACATCCAGGTGAGAGAGAACTTCCCTGAGCGTGGGCTCCAGCACCAGTCCAAAAGCTCAGAAGACTAAATCTGGGTGACCAACCCAGATTGGATCCTTTTTGATCTCATGTAGAAATCTACTAATAGATTCTAATCTACAGTATACCTTCCTCCATTGAATAAGAGGAATATTTTCACATAAAGATCGTTACCAATAGGTTATTATCAATACTAATTAGAGCAGGGGTGTCCAACCTTGGCAACTTTAAGACTTGTGGACTTCAATTCCCAGAATTCCTCAGCCAGCTTTGCTGGCTGAGGAATTCTGGGAGTTGAAGTCCACAAGTCTTAAAGTTGCCAAGGTTGGACACCCCTGAATTAGAGTATCCCTAATATAGAGTATCCCTAATATTGTATATATTTTATTAAAAGGCATTTGAATAAATGGTGTATACATTATGACCTAATTTCATTGCTTATAAATTTTGTTGGAGTCATGTTCTAAATTGTGTTGGGAAAACAGATTTAAAACTTGAAATAAGAAGGTCGGGTGAATCTTTTTTAGTAGAAATGCTAAATGAAAGTATACAGAAGAATGCTAAATCTGCTTACATTTCAAATTCATTGGATGTCTTTAGGTGTAGAAAGTAAGGAACGTGATCTTGACAGAAATACTGTATGCAAGAAACATTACCTAGACTCAATCATTTTAGGTTAGAACAATGAGATAACATTTGGAAGGAACTCAGGTAGACCCCCTCCTTAATTTATTGGAGCAAAACAAGGGAGAAGAGGTACAGTCAATCAAGCTTGCAAGATTCGGTTATTGTAACTAATCTCAGTAAAAGTAGATTTAGCCTTCCTGTCAAGTTGATTTCCAGGTCTGGTTTACCTGGAGGCTGTCGCTGGGTAATATATTTCCACCGTAATCCTGTGCATATTTCCTTAAAAGCAGGTCTTTCTACGAGCAGCAGAATGTACCTCCAGAAAGCTAAATCGTCTATAATTTAGATTTACAAAGGTCACCCAGAGTCTCTGCTGACCTGGGTAAACCATTTTAAATACAATCAATAAAAGTGATTTTGTGCTAAATGTGATTAATACTTGGATGTGAGCAATAGAAAAAACACTACAATTGCTTTTATTTGGTGCCTTTGAGTTAATGTTGATGATTGGCAAGATTTTGGAAGTGGTTTGACATTACCTGGTTCCTAGGACTGAGAGAGAGACAGAGTGAATGACACAAGGTTGCTTAGCTGGGTTTGTGCTTAAAGCAGCGCTAGAATTGGTTTAATCTGGCTCTCTACTACAAGCGCTAGAACCTTTTTATCCTTCCTTATGGTATAATGGAATTTACAAGGAGTCTCCCTTCATTTTATCCCAAGTAAAGGATGTTGAGCAGAGAAATAACAATGGGATAAAAGTCACCCAATAAGCTCCATAGTTGAGTGAGGACTTGAATATGATCTTCTTGGTGTAGTTCTCCTCCTTAACCACTATGGTTTAAACAAAATATAATGTATTAATCAAAGGTCATGCAGGGATGGAGAGCCTTTTTTCTACATTTGATGAGATTTGCAGTTATATTTCCATTTGATCCACAGTGCCCAGAACCATGCCTTTTTCTTTCAGTCCTGGTCACCATACGGTGTGCTGCCAAGAATTGGCCAAATAGAAGCATCAACTGGGAGAAGGATGTGAACCAGAGGTTGTATTCAGCAGGTTCTGACCAGTTTTGGAGTAGTGGAAATTTTGAGTAGTTTGGAGAACCGGCAAATACCACCTCTTACTGAGCCCACCCCCATCTATTCTCTGCCTCCCAAGTCCAAGCTGATCAGCTGGGTCTTCTTTTGTTGCCCTGCACAGGAGAACAGAGCTGGAAAGCAGGTTAGTGGGGTGGGGAGGGAATGGAGATTTTACAGCATCCTTCCCCTGCCACACCCACCAAGCCACGCCCACCAAGCCATGCCCACAGAACCGATAGTAAAAAAAATTGAATCCCACCACTGATATGAACAGTGTGATCTGGGGACCAAGTAGATCAGGGTGTCAAACTCTCATTGTCACAGCATTGTTAAGTGATGTATCAGGACTTTTTCCCCCTTTGCTAAACCGGGCATGGGCATGGCCAGCACATGAGGCATCCGGCCCGCAGGCTGTGAGTTTGAGAGCCGTGAAGTAGATAAATGAGTATGTATTCCAGTGTGCCTTTAGCACTGATTTAGCTAGTAGATAGCCAATGTGTTTATGAATCATGTTGTTGATTATTTTCATTTTTTACTTTTTATTGTATAATTCCCAGAATCACAATCAATGTAATAAATAAATAAATTTGAGGAGGTAATTAATCTAGTATGATACAGTATATCTATGAATGGAAATTAATTCCCAGGTGATAGCTACTAAAGAAAAAAGCAGGCATTGTTAAAGTATTTATAGCATAATCTAATGTGTTAATATCTATTCTTGAATTTGTGATGCTGATGAAACACATACAAATAAATCTGCATTAGCTATCTTCACTGAATATATAATATAAGATCTTTAAAATTAACACAAAATCCAAGAGAACTGAAAAAAACGGGGAAAAGTACTACAGACAAGGTGGGCCAAATTTTGTTTGTAGGAAAGCAAGCAAGAGATTTTCCCCAACTGCTTCATTGTAATGCCACCTCCAAAGATTCAACAAAATTTTAGACGCACCTTGCCTTTGTTGTCCATGGTCACGGCCAACTGAACCCGTTTCCCCATCCTGAATGTGAAGACGTGATCATTTTCTTCATCGTCTTCCTCACTACCAACCCCAAAGCTTGAGGCAGAAGAGCAACTGCTTCCCCACTTCTCGTTCACAATCCTTTTCTCCTGGAAATGGAAGGGAGGTAGTTGCAAAAATTAGAGGTACTGCTATTTTTCGCTTTTTTTTTTTTACCTTTTACCAAAATATAAACTTATCTAACAAAAATCTGCTCCAACATTCTCTTTGCCAGTAAACATAAACACTGTGGGAGTTTTAGATTGAAGAACAGCCCCAAATCTGGAAAAAGAAATAACAAAGTGACACCACATGCTTACCAATGCAAAGTCAAAGGCTGATGATGCTAAATGTGTTAGAGTGAAAGGGAAATAAATTGAGCTGTGGCATATGTTGAATGGATTGTATAGCCCAGTGGTGGCTAACCTTTTTTGTCTCCCGTGCCGATAATTGCACACATGTGCGCTTGTATGCGCTCGCATGCCAGCACCCAGAAGGCAATGCGTGCTGGGGCCCCCACACAGCTGCGCATGCGTGTATGACCCCCCTCGTGCACTGTGCATCTGAGGCATGCTTGTGCGATTCCCCCTCATGTGCCGCACATCTGTGCATGCGTGTGCAATTCCTCCCTTGCACGGGCGTGTCCCTACGCATGCACACGTGTCTCCTGCACACACCCCTCCTCCCCCTGTGCATGCGCGCCAGATACTCAACTCAGCTGTTGGGGGTGCATGCATGCATGCGCAGTGGGGCTCTTCCAGGTGACCTCTCACATGCCGGGGGGAATGGCTCTGCGTGCCACTTCCAGCACACGTGGCAAAGGTTCACCAACATGGGTATAGCCTATCGAGTTGTTTCATAAAACCACGAGCCATGGTGACACAGTGATTAGAATGCAGTATTGCAGGGTAAATCTGCTGACTGTCAAGGGTTTGATCCTCATAGGCTCAAGGTTGACTCAGCCTTTCATCCTTCCAAGGTCAGTAAAATAAGAATCTAAATTGTTGGGGGCAAAAGGCTGACTCTGTAAACCACTTAGAGAGGGCTCTAAAGCCCTGTAAAGCGGTATATAAGTCTTATTGCTATTGCTATCACCACCATCACCACCATAACTGTGGTGAACTAGCAGGCAAGTCAGTGAACGAATAAATACATAAATAAACTGAACTAAGAAATGAATAAAGCAGTAGAAAGGATATAGTTTTATAAGGTTTAACTAAAGGATTTGGAACCATATTAAGAGAGCAGTGGTTAGAATGCAGTATTGCAGGCTAATTCTGCCGACTGCTAGGAATTCGATCCTGACTGGCTCAAGGTTGACTCAGCCTTCCATCCTTCCAAGGTTGGTAAAATGAGGACCCAGATTGTTAGGGACAATATGCTGACTCTGTAAACCACTTAGAGAGGGCCACTTAGAGCACTATGAAGAGGTATATAAGTCTAAGTGCTACTGCTATTTAAATGTGCTGTGTAATTTGAAAGCCTTTCCCGAGTGGGGACAAGTCTAAAGTATCATTAGTAGAGACAATATGTGTGTCTTGCATTTACTTTGCAAGTTTTCTTATATTGTAATATTCTATTAGCCTAGGAAAGGAGATACAAATCCATTATCACAGTTCCAGAGTTAGAAGGAGCCACTTAGGCCTGGAGCTCAGTTTCCTGTTCAGGCAGGAACCCAACTGGAAGAGTCCTGAGAGATGGTGGCTCTACTCCTGCTTGAACACATCTGGAAAAGAAGATCTCACCCCCCTCATTTAATATTTCATTCTCCTATCAAGATTATTGATAGGTTGTTATTGATAGGTCATTATGATAGGTCACCCATCTCCCTTTTTGTAATTTAAGATTACAGAAACTGTTTCTCTTGGGCTACGGAATTCAGACATTCCCATCTATGTGATGCCCCTTCAGATATTTGTAAGGTGTCATCATACTCCTTCTCAGTCATCTGTCTTCAGATTAAGCATATCCAGTTACCTCCTTTCCTCCATACTGGGACTTGCACTTATGCAGAAGATCAGAAAGGAGAATTATGTGCTTCTATATATTGCTGTTATATTTGTTTAAAAAAATCCCAAGAGACTGACCTAAAACTTGCCTGCTCTATATGTTTCTTACTACAATTTAGCTGCCCACAATCTGTTCCTCTGTTGCTGTACAAATTCCTCCATCTCTATTTTAAAAATAATGTCAAGTCATCCTCAACTACTGATAGCTTCGTGTAAACATTGGTATAGTTTACTTGGCAGCATTACGAGAGAAACTTTCCACTGTCTGTAATGTTTTTCCTACTTTCTATCCTGTTTCTCTCCCAAGACAAACAGGATTGTTCAGGTTTTCTCACCTTCTCAGGTCAGTTTCTTCCATCTTTACATATATGGAAACTGATTAAGTATGGTAAAAATAGTAATCCATCACACATAGCAGGCACTAACTGCATTGGGTAATGTGAGGAAGTAAAATTGGGATTGTTGCCTGTTCTTTGGAAAAGCAGCTGCAGCCACCAGAAATACATTCTCTGCATTTCCCACATTCATCCAGATGTTCACGCCTACATTTTCTCGGGAGTATTCCAGCTGCCTGGCTAATTGAGCCACACCCTGATGTTTTCAAGGATGTACTGATGTCCAGAGGCAGTCTCTCCCCATCCACTCTTGACAAAATACAAAAAGGGGTGTGTATAGCAAGAAAGGTAAAAACAAACAACCTACAGCTGAAGACGTGGAGGCGACATCTATAGATTGGCAGCTATTTACAAGCAGGCAAGAAGGCTTGCATTCAACAACCAGGATCTCAAGCTGGCGGGAGTCCAGCTTGGGAGCCCAGCAGTAACTAGAAAAGGAGCAACTACACTGAAACAGCACCACATCCCAAAAGGGCAAGAATGTTTGGAAAAAGGCAAAGGTTCCCTGTTACAAAAATAATCTAATATAGCTAGAATTACCTATAATATTCCAACATTTCTTTTTCAGCAGAGAAGGGAGAATGTACTTACATGATTTGGTTTGGTGATGGTGATGGTAAGGCCATCTGGCCTAGCCCTCCTTGTAGTGACAGCCATTCCTTCTCGTTCTGCTCGTTTCTTGTCTTCTTCTATTTCCTGAAACAGTCATATTTAAATATTTTATCAGGTCAGCTGCCAACAGTAAAACAAGTGAACATTAGAAACAGCATTTTCAAAGGAGAAACATAAAGAAGCTTTAAGAAAGTATACATTCCCCATAAAAAGTTCTTGCCATCCTTAAATATACGTACACACCAATGATGGGATTCAATTTTTTTTTTACTACCGGTTCTGTGGGCGTGGCTTGGTGGGCGTGGCAGGGGAAGGATACTGTAAAATCTGCAGTCAGAGGTGGTATTTGCCGGTTCTCTGAACTACTCAAAATTTCTGCTACCGGTTCTCCAGAACTGGTCAGAACCTGCTGAATACCATCTCCGATACACACCAAGGCTTTTCTACTGTATTATCTCATTTGCTTGGATGTATTTACACAACCATGCTCAGCTAAAATGTAGTTAGCTACTTTGTAGTTCACAGCATATTGGTGATCTGTATTTGTGGGCTCTGGGCATGCATTCTCTATAGCGTGGCATTTGCATAATTTGTGTGGCTGGTGGTACATCTACCCTGGCCCTGAAACAACAGACTTACAGCTATTTTTTTCTGGATATTCTTCTAATGGGATTAGATGAGCAGGCTATTGTTAGCTTTGCTTTTACACAACTGCTTGTTGGTTCTAGCAAAACCTAAAATTCAGTTTCATTTTCCCCCATGTTGTAATTGGTTGAATATCTCCAGATTCCCGAGAGTCATTTGTATCACTCCTTATCACCCATCCCCTCCCACTTGTGATTGTAGGACTGTAACTTTGTCGCTTGTATCCTTATGATTTACATTGACTGTTTCCTAGTATGATTTGATTGTTGATTGTACCCTATGACTATCATTAAGTGTCGTACCTTATGATTCTTGATTCTTAACAAATGTATCTTTTTTTATGTATACTGAGAGCATTTACACCAAGACAAATTCCTTGTGTGTCCAATCACACTTGGCCAATAAAGTATTCTATTCTATTCTATTCTATTCTATTCTATTCTATTCTATTCTAT